TTTTCTTTTTCCCCAGATTTCTGTTGAAATTGAGATTGATTTTTTTAGAAAGTGTCGGTCTTTATTGGTAGGTATGTTGGGAATGCATTGATTCAGTCTGTTTTGGCTTCTGGGTAGTGTTTTTTTCCGATTAATTTGTATTTTTGGTGCCGAATTTTGTTTTGTTTGTGTTTTTGAATCTGAAATTTGATCATCTCTGTAAAATATTTGAGTTTTTATTGTTTGACAGTAAATGATCTAATGTATTTATAAGACTCATTTCAATCTTGAATTTTTTTGTTCAAGAAGTTCCTTAATTATGGTTTTGCTATAATGGGTCAATTCTTATTTTGGTGTTGCATCTGAATTGATATACAGATAGTTGATGATAATGTTTGATAATGTTATTGAAAGATGTTTCTTCTATGCAGCTTAAAATGGCATCAATGGTTGCCAAGGGCAGCAGTAGTGGTCAAGTGTCCATTTTTATGTCTGTCCAAGAAAAAGGAAGTAGGAATAAGCGGAAGTACAGGGCCGATCCTCCTCTAGGTGACCCAACTAAGATTATACCTTCAACCCAGAATGACTACTCGACTTATGAATTCTGTGCGGAGAAATATGAACTCACCCCAGGTCATGGTCAAGCAAATGCATGTGACTTGTGTGGTGTTAATCAAGATCATTCTGATGGATTAAAACTTGACCTGGGATTATCTAGTGCTGTAGATTCAACTGAGGTTGGGCCAAGCCAGCCAAGAGAGGAAATAGAGGTAGATGAATTCCAGGATGCTGATTGGAGTGATCTTACTGAAGCTCAGCTGGAAGAACTTGTTTTAAGCAATTTGGATGCAATTTTCAGAAGTGCAATAAAAAAGATAGTTGATTGTGGTTACACTGAAGAAGTTGCTACAAAGGCTGTCGCTACAAAGGCTGTCTTAAGGTCTGGCCTCTGGTATGGTGGTAAAGACACTGTTTCAAATATAGTGGATAACACCCTATTGTTTCTTAGAAGTGGCCAAGATATAAATTCCTCAAGGGAGCAATGTTTTGAGGACCTACAGCAGCTAGAAAAGTATATATTGGCAGAACTTGTTTGTGTTCTTCGTGAGGTTCGGCCTTTCTTGAGCACTGGGGATGCAATGTGGTGCCTGTTGATTTGTGACATGAATCTATCACATGCTTGTGCGATGGATTGTGATACACTGGGTGGTTTTGTTAGTGATGGGGCTTCAAATGGGAGTTCCCCTCCTTCTGGCCAACCCCACTTGAAAACAGAAGCCAAAAATTCTCAAATGAATCTGCCAAGTCCCTCCAAGCCTATTCATCAAACTCCTTGTTCTCATAGTTCTCAGTCAGAGGCACCAACAATGGGAGTCAATAACACCGCAAAATCGAAGAAATCCCTTGTTCTTGGTGGTCAAGTCTCAGAGAAAGAGGGTGCAAACTGCACCTTTGATGCTAAAGATAAAACTTTTAGCATGGCAGGAATGTCTCCGTCCCCCACCTTGGAAGAAAAGTTAGTCTGTAGCAGAAAATTTCATTCTACCAAGAGAGAATACATTATTCGGCAAAAGGTACTTCATATAGAGAAAAGCTACAGGACATATGGGTCTAAAGGCTCATCTAGAACGAAATTGAGTGGACTTGGAAGCTTAATCTTGGACAAAAAACTAAAATCTGTATCTGAGTCTGCTGCTGTTAATATAAAGAATGCTTCCTTGAAGATTGGTAAGGCAATGGGAGCTGAAGTAGCTCAAGATAATGGGAATAACAATCATTCTGTCAATCCTGGTCTCCCTTCCCCAGCATTATTTTGCTTAGACAGTGTTAATACTGTTTCTCCATTACCTACAACAGATATAACAGCACCTTTATCCCCAGCTGATAATCCACTTACTTCACCTGCAATCAATACCACTCCTGCAACTGCTGATACTGAACTGACTCTTTCACTGCCTACCAAAAGCACCTCTATTGGTTCTCATTCTAATACACGTAATTCCAGTTTTGCTGGGATGTCATGTGATAGGTCCCCGGGGCAGTGGGTTCCCCAGGACAAGAAGGATGAGATGATTCTGAAGCTGGTTCCCAGAGTGCGTGAGCTGCAAAATCAGCTTCAAGAATGGACAGAATGGGCCAATCAGAAAGTTATGCAGGCTGCTCAGAGATTAAGCAAGGACAAGGCTGAACTTAAGACCCTTAGGCAAGAAAAAGAGGAGGTTGAGAGGCTCAAGAAAGAGAAGCAGACTTTGGAAGAGAACACCATGAAGAAGCTTTCTGAGATGGAGAATGCCTTGTGTAATGCTGGTGGACAGGTGGAGTGTGCTAATGCTACTGTCTGTAGGCTTGAGGTGGAGAATGCAGCACTGAGGCAGGAGATGGAGGTGGCTAAGTTACATGCAGTTGAGTCAGATGCAAGCTGCCAGGAGGTATCCAAGAGGGAGAAGAAGACATTGATGAAATATCAGTCATGGGAGAGGCAGAAGGCAATGTTCCTGGAAGAGCTCATGGCTGAAAAGCATAAGGTTACTCAGATGCTACAGCACTTAGAGCAGACTAAAGTTCTTCAGGAACAATTTGAGGTATGTTTTATAGAAAGCTTAATTCCAAGCATTTGTTTATATCTCCTCAACTCTTTCATCCTGCCTCTTCAACTCAGAAAACAAGTGCTGTATACTTGGGTGTCGTAACCATACACCAGCAACTCTGTATAGGCATCATGCATGCAAACTTGGGTTGAAGACTTACCATTTCAAGCATGTAGACTTGAGTTTTTTCATCAGAAGAGGTTTGCCAAAACGTTGCTAGAGAAGAAGTTCATGGATTTTGATAGTGAAAATAGCATATTAAGTTGACAAAAATTACGAATCTCTAACTTTGAAGTTTTCCATCTCGAAATTCTTGCCTGGTATCTCTGCATGTCATATATTTATGCAGTTACTTTGGCATTTGCATCACATGAGTGCAGCATTAGCATCTGGTTACTCTTTTTTTATTTTTTTGGCTGTCATCTGGTTACTTCTTTGAGAAGGCAAAGTTGTATGGTAAGTATACCAGATACAAAACAAAGAAACCAAAAAAAAAAAAAAAAAAAAAAAAAAAAAAAAAAAAAAAAAAAAAAAAAAAAAAAAAAGAGGAAAAAAAAGAAGAAGTAAAAGTGCATTTGCATCAAAAAGAAATGCAAATACAAAGACATGGGTGTTCCTTCTTTCTATTGCTCATGTCATATCCACTTATTAGCTGCTAGAGTAATGTTGCTGAATTTTGCTAGTGGGTAAGTTTGTTTGTATTTATTATATTATGCACAGCTCAGTTTCTATACTGAATTTGAATCCTTTTTGGATTCCAAATATTCCGAAAAAGTTCTACTGAATCTGCTTTCCATTATATCTTAGCTGGAGTTTCATATTGTGTCTTGACATTTCATTGGAAGATTGGAATGCAAGATATTCGGTCTATATTAGACTTGTTTGTAATTAGTGTGTTTCTTTTCTTCTTCTTTTTTTCTCTCAACTTGCTTCTGTGACTGTTTCTTTGTGTTCCAAGCTGAATGGATAGAACATGCAAATAGTATGGTTTCCATCCCTACTTATGAAAACTTTGAATGTATGCTGCTTATTGATTCCAAAAGAGTATATTTGAGGGTTGTTTCTCATTCAAAAGGGGAAATATCACAGGGTAAATGGCAACAAGAACTGAATGCAAAGGAAGAACTACTTAGTCAAGCTACTGCAATAAGAAAAGAGAGGGAACAAATTGAGGCTTTGGCAAAATCAAAGGATGACATGATAAAATTGAAAGCAGAAACCAACTTGCAGAAGTACAAGGATGATATTCAGAAACTAGAAAAAGAAATTTCCCAGTTGAGACTAAAGACTGACTCTTTAAAAATTGCTGCACTTCGAATGGGCATTGATGGAAGCCATGCTGTCAAAGTCACTGACCTCAAAAACAGTCCAGCTCAAAAGGAATCTCACCTGTCATTTATCTCAGAAGTGGTAACAGGTTTCAGCAACTTCTCTGGGAGAGGAGGTGTGAAACGTGAACGGGAGTGTGTGATGTGTCTATCAGAGGAGATGTCTGTGGTTTTTCTCCCTTGTGCTCATCAAGTTGTCTGCACAACATGCAATGAGCTTCATGAGAAGCAAGGGATGAAGGACTGCCCTTCTTGTAGGAGTCCCATCCAGCGGCGTATTCCTGTACGTTATGCTCACTATTAAATTTTACTCTGGAAGTGAGTTGAGTGTTTTGAATAATGTTTGTGGGACTCCTTTTGAATCCAATAATGCATTTGAGTTATACCTTTCAAAAGTTCAGACAATAAAACTTCTTACATTTAAAGGTTGATGCTTCATAATAATGCTTTCCCCTTTGTTCACCTGAACATTGTACACAACAGCTTGAACACAAAGCTTGATGTGTGTCAGTATGAAATTTTGCTGGTTCCTTGTGTGAGTCAATTTAGTATCATATATTTGCCTTAAATATGCTGGCTATTCCAAGATTGTGGCACTGGATATATGCTGGTCCATTCCAACTATGATTTTAACGTTTGTGAGACTTTGAGAGGAAATCTCAACTATCCCAACCGCCTACTTGATCCCTGAGGATAAGATGGAAGAGAGCAGGATTGCAATTTGTTCTTGTGTCCATGAGTATGCCACTTGGCATGATAATATTCCCTCAAATTGGGACATTGTCCCACTTAAGGCCCTTAAGTCACTGTCCTTCTAGTCATCATCAGCAGTGTGTATGCTTCTTGTTATGACTTGAATTGTGATTGAGAATTGGGATAATATCAAACCAAAGAAATATAAAAAATGAAAAAAATAGTGAGAAAGATCTTGAGGCATATGATGGATGTGGTTCCTCAGAAGCTTATTTGAATTCCCTTATTTTCACGGCTGATGGTTCTTTATGATGAAAGATTAGGAAAGAACCATGCAGATTTTAGATTTGCCTATTTCATTGTCTGAATTCTGAGTCTAATTTTATGTAAAATTTTCCTTTTTCTTATTACTGTACTAAGAATTTTTTGATGTTCTATAATTGATAGACTAATACATATCACTGTACACTACTATAAAATTGGTTAACAATAATGATTAGTTAATAA